GGTAAAGGGTTATACTTTTTAGATGATTCTTTATTGCTTTTTAAGCATAGCTTAGTGGATCCACTTAGTTGAGGATGTCTTATACTCCGGCAAGGTGTAGGATAGTTCTGGTAGTGTGGGTGAGACCCTGTATCATCACGTAGCTCATAGTGATGGTTGTCGGTTAGAGAATCTCCCAAATAAAAGTTATTATTGTATTCCTACATACAATTGAGTTATTATTGTATTTTTACATACAATTGAGCTATTATCTACTGTTTAAAACTTTTCCATGTATTGCATCTTTTATTGTTGCTTTATCCTTGAGTTGAATTGAATAACTTTAAGTTGAGTATCTTGAGTTGAGTATCTTTAATTTGAGTATCTTGAGTTGAGTATTATTGAGTTGAGTTGAGTATCCTTGAGTAGAGTTGAGTATTCTTGAGTTATATTGAGTTGAGACGAGGTGAGTATGTCTTCCTTATTATTAGTTTGAGCTTAAACATATGTTGCAGAGTTCCCCTTACATGCTCGTACATTCCATGTACGGATGCCATTTGGCCTACATCATTTCATGATGCAAATACAGGTATTCAGGAATATCAACAGGCAATTTGTTGATGTCATATGATGTTCTAGTCAGCTTTGGTGAGCCTTCTTATATTCCAGAGGACTTCCCCTTTACTTTGCAGTTAGTAGTTTGGAGATGTCGTGAGTTTTGTCTCCATATCCTTCTGTAATTGATTAACATCCCAAATACACCTCATTCGATTCTAGGTGTAGACGACCGTTAACTAGTATAAAACTCAACGAAGAGTTGGTGTCGAACCCACAGGGAGTGGTACATGTCTAAATTTAGTTATTAAGTTATAAAGTGGTCTATTCGGTTATAGGAATATACATTATCGGAAACAAGTAAAAAAGTCTAGGGTGTTACAACGAATGTCAGATGGTGATTTGGATTGTTAATTATCAGCTACAACACAATCAAACACGAGGAAAATAAAAATATAGAGAGGAATTCTCAGGATGTGATCGATTATGGGAAAATTTCACTATATGGGTAATTAAAATTACTAACAAATAGCTAAATATCAGTGGGTAGGCTAGACTATAAGTAAGATAGTTTTCTCCTGAACAACTACCACGATTCAAGCGATTTCTTTTGAACATCAACAAGCTTAGCAAATAAGAACAACCCACACCTTAATTCATCTACTCTCTCGAGCTAGATAGGTAGAATTGATTTTAGGATTTACTCTTTCAAGCTAAACCCATATCAACCCAATACCTGCAATCATCAATTGAAAGCTTTGATTCCAAAACCTCTTTTTCAAGCAAGCCCAGAATTCTAAGTTAGAATTGCATTTGCAACTACAATTCTTAGATTAAAACACATCTATCAATTAAACCCACTTTAATTAAGCATTTAAGTTAGTAAATAACAATACCCATAAGCTAATTCAACCCATAATCACATGATCACACCCCAAGAATTGGGGTTTTAGCCAAACATCATAAAAGGTAAAACAATTACCAACTCGATTGGCCATCAGCTGGGTAATAGTCTTCAAGCCTTTACAATGTTCCAAAATGGTTAAATTCAAAAACCCAATTCCAAATCCTCACAATTAAACTTAGAAATCCACAAAGTTTACAATAAGAACTGAAAAACCAAAAGAAAACTCTAATTCTCAAACTTGGGGATCAGAACTACTCAATTTTCCTTTTGAATTCCATTTTATAGTTGCTACGTTTGACCTGAAAGTCCATTTGGCTGAATAAGTCGTGCCTCACTGAGTGATTCGGCGATCCGCCCTTTGCTCCCTTCCATTGCCATTTTGCATTGGTCCTCAACCTGGGAACTTTGGGCGATCCAACTTGTTGTCACGGACTCGATCGGCGATTCACTGACTGCCGATTTCTGTCGCCAACTTGATTCTTCCCCAAGGCTGGCACGCTGGAACTTTGGGCGAGCTAAAGAGTCACTCGGCGGTTCCGAGTGGTCTTGGCGATCACCAGGATCGCTTTTCTTCACTTCTTCATCTTGTTAGTTCCTTTTTGTCTGGTAGTGCCTTTGCCTTGCTCCTTAGCCTGTAATGTTGCAAGTCAACACTTTAACATCATTTTAGAGCATAAATTAGGCATTTGAGGACACTTATACTATCAAAATATATCCCTAAATGAGTCGAAATCACGGACTCATCAGTAATAGTAGAGGCTTCATAGATAGAAAGAGTTGAGGAGTTTTTTTGTATTTACTTTCTTTAAAGTATTGTTCAGACTTTTTGAAGTTGAGTATTTGAGTTCAATGAATTTAATTCAGTTTTAAGCTTATGTATGCTTGAGTTAGTCTTCTGCTTATAGTCAGCCAGGATAAGGGTTCTCTTGGGGACTAGCAATGGTTCTCGAGTGTTGGCCACATCCAGGGTGTATACTCGATTCGTGACAAACTTTGTATTAGAGCACAGAGTTCAAATGTCCTAGGGTGTCTATGAAGTTGTGGCAGTAGGATCTCATTTATGGTTGTGAGGGCCCCACTTCTATAAATGAGGGACTACAGACATTTAAAATTTCCCTTCTTACATACTCTATATCAAGCAGTAGAACTGTGTCATAAGGAATTTATTCTAACTCGTGCTTTTCTCATATCCATTCGACTACCCCTCATACTCAAGGTAGTTGAAAATCAAAGCCAGATCCTTATCGATGAGTTACTCTCAGCAAAAATATTGAGAAAGTCATGAGACTGCATAGGGGCTTGAGAGAAACATGTGAGTGAGTTTAAGTGTTGAGTTTGGAAAGAATGCACTCATATTCATGTGAATAGTCTGTTCAAGCTAAAAGCAAGATATACTCTCTTCTCTAAACCTTTTTTAGGTGATACCCTTATGAAGAGTTGTGTTGTAGAGCTTGCATAGTATTTGAATCCGAAGAGATAGTATGAGTTATGAGGCTATAAGCAGTAGTGATGAGGCAAGCTATGTTATTATAGTCATGCCCCCAGTAAGTTATTAATGGTGAGTTTTCCTTTATGAGTAGACTAAGGAATAATAATCTTGTTTAGAGTTCATGATATGAGGTAGAGGAACAGTTACAAGTTAGGATGAGTTAGAGTATATTTTATCTAGAAAGGAGGTTATGATGAGGTGTCATTGTGTTGGTAATGACCAAGTGTAGATGTTGAATAGAAGAGCATGAGTATTCATGAGGTGATAGATCTAAGCCACACTTATGATTTTTGAGGGAGAGCCCATGATATTCAAAGTGTTACAGAACTAATTTGGCAATGATGTATAGTGAATGAGTAAGTAGTACGCAAGTAGTGAAGTGGAATGTGATGGAAATTTGTAAGTAAGAAGACTGAGAGATAAAGACTGACTACTTGTCATGAAGCTTTAGTGGGTGAGTGTTTCAAAACAAAATTCCTAGTAGTTGTGATTGAGCTGGTCAAGTTTTAATTTGAGTATCTTGAGTTGAGTATTATTGAGTTGAGTATTCTTGAGTCATATTGAGTTGATACGAGGTTAGTATGTCTTCCTTATTATCAGTTTGAGCTTATTCTTATGTTGCAGAGTTCCCCTTACATGCTCGTACATTTCATGTGCTGACGCCATTTAGCCTGCATCATTTCATGATGCAAATACATGTATTTAGGATCAACAACGGGCGTTTCGTTGAGGTCATGTGATGTTCCAGTCAGCTTTGGTGAGCCTTCTTATATTCCGGAGGACTTCCCCTTTACCTTGCGGTTAGTAGTTTGGAGATGTCGTGGGTTTTGTCCCGATATCCTTCTGTAATAGTAGAGACTTCATAGCTAGACAGAGTTGAAGAGTTTTTTTGTATTTACTTTCTTTTAAGTATTGTTCAGACTTTTTAAAGTTGAGTATTTGAGTTCAATGAATTTAATTAGTTTTAAGCTTATGTATGCTTGAGTTAGTCTTCTGCTTATAGTCAGTCAGGATGAGGGTTTGCTTGGGGACCAGCAATGGATCTCGAGTGCCGGCCACGTCCAGGGTGTAGACTCAGGTCGTGACACAGACAACCACATCTTGTTGAAGAAGAGAAGCAACTACGTCTAGTTGAAGAAGATAAACAACAAATTTGTCTAAATATTTTAAAAAAAAAAAAATTACCTACTGTCCATCTAATCTACTATTTTATTTTATTTTATCATCAAATTTAAGAATATGATTCAATGTACACAATAAAAAAAAGCCACATAATCAATTCAACTGATCCATTTATGAGGTTCTCTAATATATCATCATTAATCAAAATCTAACTATTAAGTAAGGTTCATTTTAATTAGGCGAACAATGATCCATATATATCTGAAATAAATAAAGAGAGTCACAGAAGATGTCAAAATAAATCTAAATAATTCTCCAATGAGTTCTCTCTATTTATTAATCAACTTTGAATCAATAATAATTATAACTCATTGGAGAATTATAGTAAAGGTGGAAAGTTGATTGATTAATAAATAGAGAGAGGAAGAGGTATTTGTGGAGAAAGATTAAGGTCTTCAAGGTTTTTTTTTTCTATCCTCTTAAATGAAAATAAATGTAGATAACTTTTAGATTTTTAAAATTAGTTATTAAGCAGAAAAATTAGAAGAAAAGCCTAAAATTATGCGAAAAAGGATAAATAAAAATGGTGGTCATGGAGAATGTCAGATCATCTCTTCTATATCTAGGTTTGGGTTGCTTCTTCACGAAATTTCTTTACTTTAATATGTTGTAGTATTAGCTTAACTAATTTGCCTTTAGTCACAAGTGAATAAATAAAACCCAACAATACCAATGTATGAGAGCAAGGCGCCATTGAATAAAAAAAAACAATACCAACAAACGGTTTTGCACAATTATTTGGGAAAAAACAAATCTATTTTCATCTCCAAATAGAAAATTTCCAATTACTAATATCTGCAGCATTTCTATTCTCTTATGATGTAGTTAATCCTACATGTGATATAACATATCCTGTTGAGCAGTACAGGAAGCAAGCGACAAAAAATATACGAAAGAAATGAAAACGAAAAAGAAATAAGGAGACAGGAGGGGGAAGAAGCTCATCGATGACAGAAATACAATGCTCCAAGTATGACACAGTATCATCGACTGTAACTCTACACCGAGTTATATTTGCAATTGTACAAGTACACTAAGCTAAATCATGTAAAAGTACAGATTTTCCAGCAAACAGCCATTGAACACTGACTGAATACGAAACAAGAAAATGTTTGTCATCTCTTCTTCACTTTTTTGCAATTGTCATGTGATGCAAGCATTTAAGAACCTCCATGCCGAAACAGAAGAACTGATCTATACAGAGCAGCAACATGAAGGAAACAGATGAACATGATAATCAGATCATCTAGTAAACCTATTATACCCACAAACCCTGCAAAAAGAGAAGAAGTGTAGTCATAAACTGAACAATATGATAGACATTTTCAGAGAGAATATTCAACCATTACCTTCTGGGATAAGGTCCACGGGGCTAAGGACGTATATACCACTTAAAAACACCTGCAAATTAAATAAAATTTTAGACAATCCATGTAAAAAATAGTCAGGAAATGGTGAATATTTACACTTCCATCCCTCAGTATAGGGTTAGATTGAATTCATGCACACTTACTGGCCAATTAGAAGTTTTAACTGCGCAAGTTGTGTAGGAGAATTGAATTCAAGCCGACTACTATAAAAGGCTTCCATTCTAGTCTAACATTCGGAGGGGGATACAGGGTAAGGGGCCCTAATTTCATAAGATCGAAACAACTGTCGACTCCTAAGGAGAATGGTCCACGTAAACTTCAAACAGTACAAACTGTCTAGTATTTAATGAAGTGGCAATTTATGAATTTTGTTATCAAGATCAGTAATCTGCCAGCTTTCAGAACCTTATGTAAACCAGATCTGTCACCTTCAGATATCTATTACACATCATGCATCTACGAAGTTTAATGCATTTTACACGAGTGAAATAGACAACTGAAATCACATATACCTCATGGCTTGCACATCTAATTTTATCACACAACTCCCCGAATGTTTTCAACTAGTATCTAACATCATCATCATTCTGTAGTGATGCGGCATGCAGAGAACAGAGATGTTCACAACCAACTCTCTGTCAGATGTGCTTGCGGGAAAGCTAACAGATTACCCTCCTCCCACACCCCCGTGTAAATCTATTGGCACACTGCAAATGATAAGGTACATATATAGTGCCTTGCTATATCTTAGATCGCGACAAAAATAATAAAAATCCACGGAAAGAAAGCATAGATCGATCCTGCTGTTAACTGAGAAGATCGGAAAGTTTGGGTTAGAAAATAAAATTGATATCGAACGGAACTGCTCTACATGGATAGATCAGCTACCTCTCTAGAAAAAGAAACTAAAAATAGAGAAGTAACAGAGAGGAGAACTCGAATGGTGATCCAATAGATGGTGCATAATTGGGTACTTACTGCCAAATAGACACGCGCCCTGATGACAAACGGAAGAGATCTTTGAGGATCTGTCATGTCTCGCAGTAATCTTCGGAGGAGAAATGGAAGATCTTGCATTCTCTGTCAAAACAAAGATCATATATTATCTTTCAACTGAATACAACATTTGTGGTCAGTTGACGTGTTAATAAATACACAAGGACTAATGAATTTTAATTCTTAACCGAAAGGCAAACTACATGGGCTATAGTCACAACATATTCAAGGCAAGTTATACATGGGGTGAAAAGAAGTGCTAGAAAATATAAGACCCCTTAATGGAGCATGTTTCTCTTCCTTATATATACCACATATTTCAGGAAAGTTGTACAGAGCATAAAATTAGAATCTTAATGGACCCTAATTCTGTAGCTAACTCCAACCAAATTGAAAAATTAGTGCTCCTTAGATCTCCTCTGTTGGTTCCTGTAAGGATGAGAATAGAGACCAGGGCATTATCCGATCACTTTACTGCCCCTTCTTGGGTAACAAGCCCACATATGTAAGCACATAGCTTTAAACATATAGCACTGCAAGTCTGAGCTCTGCAGTTACCAGAGCATTATTCACCGAAGGAGACAAAAAATGACTATTCTTTAAGCACATAGCACTGCAAATTTGTTGATAGACCTTTGCATACATAAATACAGAGCTGGAGCAGAATATAAATAAATTATTAGCCCTGGTATACTAGTAGTCTGGTACAATGATCCTACACAAACTCACACCGAAAACCAGTTTCCAACTAAGTACTCCTAAAATTTCAACTTCTACCTGCCTCAAATTGTTCAAGAATCAACCAACAATTTTAGGTACAGTTTCACGACTGCAGTAAACCAAGGAGAAAAAAAAACAGATCCATCCCTATCCCCTGCCAAAAATGAAAAATGAACAAAGAGAGAATGTTCCTAAATAGAACAGTACTTGCTGATAAAGAGTGTAGCAGTGAATCATGTCAGAGGAAAGATATGCATAGGTAACAAACGAAATACCTGGAGAAGGCCATTGGCATGTTGACCAAAATGGCGGTTATATTGCTCAACTCTCCGTAACACCTCAGGAACTTCAGGATCTTGATGCAACCTTGATACAGACTCACTAGGAACCAACAAGGTAATCGGACGACGGCATAATGGGCATTTACATGCTTGAAGGGCTGATCCATGATCCCAAACTTGTAGAATACAGCTAGCTAGAAAGGAGGAAGCCAAGGTAGAATTTCAATACATATACTCACTATTTGTGATGGAGAGTTGCAATCTCCATTGCTAGACTGAACATGCTGGCACATTCCCCACTGAAAACGTTTACTCAACACTAGCATGCTTTCAATTCTCAGCATTCTTAATTAAGTTTGTTTTTAACATTTTAGTTTGCACAAAATTCCTTTAGGCAAAGTATCATTAGTCCAATTACTTGACATCCTGATCAATGATCATAGACTAGAAAATACCGACAAGAGGGAGTTGCTCGGATGGTAACCACCCCTCACTTCCAACCCTAAGGTTGTGAATTCGAGTCACCAAGGAAGCAAAAAGATGGGAGCTCCTAGGGAAGGGTAAAAAACAGACTAGAAAATACCATTCCAAGCTAAATATAGTTTTATTAAGACTAGCTTGTTGATTCAATAACGCACCAATAAGGAAACATTACCTATTCCTTTCCTCTTTTTTACAAGGAGAATATTGATTACAAGAGACCTCAGAATTCCAGATCAACTTCACACAGCCCCTAATTCTTTACAAACTCTTATTGGCTACTGGACTTCAGCAATCCCTAAGGTCCATCCGTGTTCTACCTTTCATAAATAAAATTGTATTACTTGATTAAAAGAAATTCAGAAATCTGTAAGGTCCTCAATAGACGTAAATATAGGTTTACAAAACATACTCTTCGACTAGAGTTGAACTCTTGACAAAACAAAATCAAAGGAAGAGAAGAGGAGGAAAAAGCCAAAAACAGTGACAAACCATTTCAGGTTAAGAAGCACAAGCTATATAATTGGGTAAAATTGAGAAACTTGATAATCATTTATAGGTTGAAGTATTTTAAGGGGTAGTTATAGGAGATACATTAGAGAAGAAAGCCAACAATTTCAAATATTAAGTTTGGAAGCAGCAACACTCCATGCAGTTACAGTACTAAAAACAAAGATTTGTAGTTCTAGTCATCTACTATCCTTCTAAAATAGCCAATTGGCTTTCCTACTCCACATCTTAGAAGTTCAAAATGCTGGCAACTAACAGCTATTCCCTCAATCCAGGAAACTTGACCAGATTGCTAATTTATAAAATCTAGACATTTTACTTTCACCACGGTTTTCTCAAGTAATGGCTGGATTTAAATCTAAGAATTTCGCTCAAGACTGATGATATTTAAAAACTGAAATTCAAAGATTGGTAAATTTTGACACTTGTATCCCTAATCAAGTCTCAAAATTTAGGGAGAAGGGGAGAGTTTCTCTTTCATGACCCACGCATTACTTCAGTTTATCATCTTTTAAGTAGGATAAGACAGTTTAATGCATTTAGTGTTTTTGTAACTGCATAAAGCAGAAATATCCCCTAATCACATGCCCTCTCCAGTCTACACTGACATAGCGCAACCCAAGAATCTAGATTTTGATACAATCCAATTAATCCATGAAATGTGCTACAACTTCAACATTCTAATTCTCTTTCAACTTTATAGCCCACTTAAGTCACCAGCAAGAAATATACTGTGCTACTGGCAAGATTTTCTAACTTGGTTATTATTTAGTGGCGTTTGGACATAAGAATTGTGATATCTGGAAAAGTAGTATTGTTTTCAAGTTGAAAATAGTATTTCGAAATTGGAGTTATATTTTACATGAACACAGATTGGAGTTGTTTTTGAACTTGACTTGGAGTGAAAATTGTGAAAACAACATTTTAGAGTTTTTAGGATTCCAGATTTTAACTTCAAATTGAATTCCAAAAAATTGTAACAGTTCTATGTCCACACAGTTTTCCTTTATAAAAGAAAACTATCCATGGACAAACAGGCACTCAATAAGCAGAAATGTGCCAAAATAATATCCCATTATTTTTTTACCTTCTTCCTATAAAAATCACTGGAATAAGGTAAGGACACTGACAAAAAAAAAATTATTTCTGACAGGATAAACAGTCAAAAGTTTTACTGCATAACTTTGCACACTTTTATGAGCTTAATTTTGAAGGACAGATACTTCATGTCATATTTATCCGAGATGCAAGCAACAATGTCAAGACAGTTTTCTGTAGATAATGAATATTTTGACAACTCTATCCTCCTCCTATATCTTTAAATTAAATAACGTTTCACTCAATAGGAAACAGTTTCTCACTGAAATTATTAAAGAGGTCTGCACCAACTGATCATACTCAAAGATATGTCAATCATCCACATTCTAGGCAGCAGGTAATACAGGATCTTGTTGCCACTCTTTCATTCCAAGAAGGAAGCTATAAAAACATAGACTAAATGCATACACATTCTCTGTGGTTGTATACATGGAAACCTTATAAGCAATAGGTGATTTCCTAACAAAACTAAAGCATAAACTTACAGAAAAATGCACCTACTGTAGGTGCACACAGTGCTTTAATTTCACATCTATCAGACAAGGATTGACCCATGTTTCTCAGACTAGAGGTCGGATTATACATTGCATAAATTTTAGGATTTGGGGTACGGATTTGAGTGCTGACATGGGTGTCGGGCTAGGGATAACGAACGTATTACGATATATACACGTATATATTTCAATCAATTAAAGTTATTGCAGTATAAATATAATGAAATGTAATTCCTTATAAACACCTAAAATTGTATTAAGATAAATGTAATAGCAAAGTGTCTCATACTTTGTAAAACTAATTGGAGTATATATATATATATATATAACATAAACCAAGAAATCAAACAGAATACCCAATTAATCTATACTTGTTGGTCATAGATTTAGTTAAAGCACCCTAAGTAAATTGACCACATCTCACACCCAAATCGTGCTAGATAGACACGGGTGCGGCAGGGATTTTGAATGGTTCGAGCAACATAGGGATAGGAGACATGATGCAGGGAGCTTAGCTTTAATAACACCAAAGCTTTTATTTGTTTCTTGCACACCATTTTCAGTGAAGGGCTCAAAATATCCATCCTCCACAATTGTGCATCTAAAGGTATTAGTTCGGCTGACATTAGATGATAGTTGGTCACTAGGTCCCCATGGTGAATGAGATAATTTGAGGTAGCTTGTAATTATTGGCATCTGTGACTTGAGACATACTGATTAAGTGGTTTTTTTTTTGTTGTAAATCAGCCAGCTCAAAAGAGCCTGTTTGGGCATTTTATTTCACTTCACTTCAGAAAACCAAGCGAAGGGGGGACCATACCTTACCTCCCAGTACATTAAGAGAAAGAAATATAATCTAGAGGAAAAGCTAGACACCTATGCTCATCTCTGAAACATGTACAAAAGCAAATTACAATTGAGAGACACCTATACTTACATGTGCAATGTTATTATGTAAGTACCTGAACGTTTTTTGATAAGTTCCTTTTCAAGTACATGAACTTGAAAAGGAAGAAAAAGATCATGATTCTGGTCTTCTATCTACCTGTCCTTTTCTGCAGATCAAATTTCTTTACAAACAATTTGTTATGAGTTACCTCAGTAGTTTCAATCAGTCATCCTTTCCTCCCTCCTTTTCGAGCCAAAAAAAACTTCTTAATTTGCTTTCTCCTCAATCCAGATTATTGGACAGACTTATTCAAACCCATCAATTCGAAACCTATCTTTTACCATTATATGACCTCAGTATGCAGGGATTGGTACCTGGCTTATGTTAAGATGGCATTCCACTCAAGAAACCTCTATGTTTAAAATCACAAGCCAGCAAGTTACTTGGAAGACTCATGGAAATAGGACACTCTGATGCATCTGACATGGATATGTTACATTCTTAGCGAGTAACCAAAGTATCTTGGAAGATCTTGCAAAGCATACTTCTGTTAGACATGCATGTGTCAAATGAAACTGCTTAGAGGACATGACACACAAGGAAAAGCACTAATAGGAGGGAGGGAAGACTACACAGAGTAGATCTGATGCCCCATTTAGTAGTGTGCGGAGTAAACCATGGTTTCAGCACCATATCTTAACCAAACAATTATTCATCCAACAACTCTAGGTTAGCTTCTTCTTGATACACACAACTCATTCATTTACTTAATATGTATTCCAAACTCTCTGTCTTTTATTAAGTATGGGTACACTAGTAAAAAACAAGACACTCCCTGCATACGCAACCTGCTTTAAGCACTAGGTATACATTTATATCCATTTATGAGTTGAGATGACCTAAATTTTTTTGTCAAATATCAAATACACACACAGATAAAAACCCAGTACAACAATGTGAATTTCCCAATATAAGCAAGTGGATTACTCCCACTTTCTCACAAATCAAGAAAAAGATCTTCAAGATACATATATTTCAAATTGAAAAATGAATTTTTCAATCAAAACCCACAACAAAAAATTGTAACTTTTCCATGACACAATTACAAGAAATTCTTAATGTCACTCTCGATTTTTCAAGTTTCTCCATTTCTGGTCAAGAAAAAGAATTCTTCAACTCAAATTTCAGCTACACAACAGCAAGTACTAATAAAGACCGAATTAATAATAAAAGAGATAAAAGCTCACCACAAAACCAATGGGAACAATTAGCTTGACAAGGAACATGGAAAGGGCCATGGCAGATAGAACAAACATCATTCTCCGGTGGTCCATCCATTTCCTTTTCATACAATCACTGGGTTTTACCTTCCTCTTTCTTTCTTTTATGAGTATTTTGTTGAATCAAAGAAATGGATCCACTTTGAGACTTGCAAAAGCTCTTCTGTGCCTATTTTTTACTTAACAGGTAAGAATTCATTCAAGTCCGAACAGAAACTTCTAATCGGATGTAGCCCTCATCTTTTTACAAAATATAATTTGCCCCTTTCGTTTTAGCTTTAAACAACATCCTCCTATCTCTATTTATATTAGGGAAAAAAGGACAACTATTGGTTCGAACTATCGTAAATGATATCTAAATATACTCCGTTATACTTTAAATTCTGATATCCGTACCATCTAATTTTTGGAGTGTGTATACCCTTTGGACTAACGGAGTGACACGTGTCACTATCTTAACAACCTATCCAAAATTTATTTAATTTGTATTTCCAATTAAAAAATTGACCCAATAAAAAACTCACCCAAATAATTTTAGACCCTCATTTTTTCCTTTCTTCTCTAGTCCAAGAATCAGTTACACAACATAACTGCAGCACTCCATCTTCTTCGGCGAAGCTCCAGATACGAAACCATCTCTAACTATTATCGAATCTAACCTCCCTTACTCCAGTGAAATCAGTGAGGTAGTGACCCTTAATCCACCATGAAATCTAACCATCACTCACCCATCTCTCCCTCGCCATTGCTCCAACAGCTCCGGCGAACCAAACTAGCGACCTTCAAATGGATTTATAGTCGCAAAACTCAATAACTTTTTTAGATGACTGAAACTTTGAAAAATGAAGATTGTATGGCTCAAAGCCAAGAACAGAAATCTGTGAAAATCCAAAAATCAACAATACAACAATCACACTATAATGAGAAATATAAAATAAAACCAGTCATAAATCAGACGAGAAAAATATAGGAGGATAGGGAACAAACATACCTCTAGCTCTCTTTACAAAGCTTCAACAATGGAGGTCAAGAAGATACTCTGTAACTCATAGCTAATATGTGGCGTGGGAATGTTCTTACATTCCAAAATGTACCACAAAAAAAGATTTATGGATAATCAAGAAGAAAAAACGACGGAAAATTACCTCTAATACCAGAAAAAACCAAACTCAATTTCATCAACTGAAAAACCACCCAAAGTGCTACCCATACATTGAATGAGTTTCCAACTCTGTTTCTGTCCTTTATTCTGTTAAAAAAAAGTTAGTGGATCTTACTAAATGTTGTATTGATGAGAATATCTTAAATTAGAGTATGCAATATGATATTTAAGTAAAGAACAAAAGAAAATCTCTAATGGATTCTCTGTTAGAAAGGAAAAGATCAGAGAAGATGGTCTATTGGAATTTATGTTATAACTAGGGAATTTGGCCGCGATTCGCGCAGTTAAGAAATATATATATATGTAAATTTATTTTAAAAAATAATTATGATACAAGAAATAAAAAATCAATTATAGAAATAAGAAAAATGGTAAAATCACAATACAAATATTTTTGTAGAATTAGAGCTTTAGTGAATTACATTTTTATTATCAAATATTTTTCAAAATTAAAAGACTTATATATTAAGAAAAAAATTCATATATTATGATGTTAATACATAAAATTCGGATAAGCATATTAAAGGCCTTGATTTTTTTTCTTATTTTTGTCAAATGATAAATTTACTATCCGATGAATATTTCTTTAATTTGAAAAATAAATGATGAAACTAAAAATAGGAGGAAAAAGAGATAAATATTTCTATTTCATTTCTTCTTTGATATTTGATCCTTTCTTTGTCCTTGTTTTTTCTCTTGTTCATCATCATCTAAATAATTATTTTTCTCTATTTTTTATTATCATCTAAATAAATCTTTATTGCTATTGTTTTCCGTATATATCTTATATTATTCTGATAATTCTTTAAAAGTTGAAGAAATGAACAAATTTAAATGGTTCTTCACCATAAGAAATACCTAAAATTTGCGTATTTCAATACTTAATATGCATTTCTTTTGAGCCATGAGTAATAAAAGTAAGTAAAAAGAGAAAAATAATAACACAATTTTGTCAAGTTCTTAATCACAAAAACAAAGATGATAAAAAATCAAATAATCAACGCAATTATTTTTGAGCTTTTATCAGGCACCTCTTCTATCCATATCCAAAAGCTTTTCCATGGAGTCAAACTAAAGTATAAATTTGATACTACAACAATAATATAGAGTATCACTATTTTAAATATGGAATAAAAATAATAATCTTGAGTAGGAATCTACTGAAACAAAAAATATGAATTTATATAGACAAAATTAAAGAAATTAATATCACAAGGTATCTTAAATTTTGAAATTAAATAGTTGGGGGTTATGAATATGAAAATTTAAAGAAAAGAGTTAATAATATTAATTAAAGTAAAAGTTCAATTAGGTATAAGTTATGGAGATAAGAATTTTAAAATTAAAAAAAAAAATAATAATAATACAGACCAAAAAAACTCATGTACTATTCAACATTTGTTGGGGTTTAAGTTTTATTAGGAAAGCATGCAAATAAACTTCTTCTCTTTTTGTGTTTAACAAAATTGAAAGAGGAAAAAAAAATACAATATAAAAAAAGACAAATATCTTGAAATATTAAAATGAGAAATATTGAGACTTTTAATTTTTTGTAACAAAGAATAATAATGAGTGTAAATAATTTTTTAGACATTTAATTATAATAATAAATAGAGGAGTAGTAATTAATATATTTATTTTTTGTACAATAATAAGTAAGTAGAAAAATATGGAAAATTGTCAAAAACAATTGAGGAAAAAAGATAAATAGAATCTTTGGCCAAAGAGAGATGCAACTTCACTTCTTTAACATCGTCTAGCTTATATTATAGATAGATTTTTAAGTATAATAATATGTAAATGTACCATAGATAATATACTTTTCAAGCATGGCAAATTTTTAGAATATTGAAATCAAAACAATACATAAATGAATCTTTAAAATATTGGAAACATTCAAACTTTATACTAATATGATCATCTCTCTTGATGAATCTTTCAACATAATTAAACTTCCTTCTTCATTTTGATGATCTTGTACTAAATTAATGTGAACATCTCTTTATAATGAATCTTTGAAGAATATATATTTGATCTTCATCAAAGTGAAGATTACTGAAGAACATATCATGTCACTATCTTTTTTATGATTTCTTATGGAAAATATGAAGAATAATTTATTTATTTTTTAAAAAAAGAGAGAGAAAAAAACTACACTAATAGAAAGAAAGAATGAGAAAATGAAAAATGAAAAATGAATATTCAACATCTCCATGGATGATTGTAATTTATAGATTTGCTAATCCATAATAATAAGTTGAAGAGACACGCAGTGGCGTAGCCAGGAATTTAATGAAGGGTGTCCAAACTTTTAATAATAATTTTTTTTGAAAAAACAACGATTTAAATTACCAAAACAAATAATCAAGTTAAGCAATATTTAATTAAATATAGGAATATTTTTAATAGAATTAAAAGTGTATAATTCAAAACTAATATAAAGAAAATAAACTACTATTGAAAACATAATTTAAATATATTATTACAATTATACTCGAGGAGGTTTCATATCCTGAAACGTTTTTATAATAGACTCATTAGAAATAGTACGAAATACTTTCTTTTCTACATAAGGCACTATACAACCGTCTAAAAACTCATCATCCATTCGATTTCGCAAGTCATTTTTAGAGTATTTAAATCAATGCTTTGTTTTTGAGAAGAATGTGACAACATCTCTAATTGATCTACCGTTGTTTCTTTATTTGGTTGACTTAGAGAAGTCGAACTTTTTTTTGGTACTCTATTATAATAATTCCTCATGTCTATTGAAACTTGAAACTAAAATATTAAGTTGGTTATTTTTGTTATAAAATAAGAGAACGAGAAGAAAAACAGAGAGAGAATTATTGAGATTCTATTCTTAATAATATTGTGATATAATTTGGGTAAATGAGTCTCCTATTTAAGGATTTGAACTTGAGTCTTGGAGACCTTCATGATACTATTAACCACCAAGCCACTGAACTTTTATGATAAAATTACGCATGTTTATTTACTTAATTGAATTCAAGAAGTCAAAATAATTACAGAAAAATAAAACAACCTTGCAGGGAATCGAATCGAGATAAAGAGTAGGATTGCACAGGCTTATTGCCAACTCCACTGCGCATCACTTTGTTATTTTAGGGGGTCCAAATTCTATATATACCAATATAAACTCAAAATTTTACGTGTATATATAGTATAATTTTTCGGCGAAGGGTGTCCAATTGGACACCCTGGAGCCTACGTGGCTCCGCCCCTGGAGACATGTTATTTAAGTAGAGGATATGAATAGATGGAGGTTTTTTGTAACTCATTAGATATAATTAGAATAGTAAATATGATTGATTTTTTTTATTTAATAAATAAAATATTTAATGAAAACAATTAAGGAAAAAATCTAAAAAAAGGAGAAAAAAAAGATAAATATGAATGAAGGTCATAGAGGGGTGTCATATCACCTTGTCTATGTTTTTCTTTTATATTATATATAGATTTCGGTGCGGGTCTAAAATTATTCGGGTGTGTTTTTTATTATTCGGGTCAATTTTTTAATTGGAAATAAAAATTAAATAAATTTTGAATAGGTTGTTAAGATCGCGACATGTGTCCTTCCGTTAGTCCAAAGGGTATACACGCTTCAAAAATTAGACGATAGGGGCATCAGAGTACTAAAGGTATCACGGAGGATATTTAGATACCATTTATGATAGTTCAAGGGTATATTTGTCATTTTTCCCTTTATATTATAATCAACAAACGGATTCATATTATAAAAAGAAAATACAAAAAATCATTCTCAAACTTGATAGATAAACTTACTCTTTACATTTTAACTATACGAATATTATTTAGTATTTACCCTCTTATTTTTATTTGAAGAAAATAAATATCACTATGTCTCTGACATTTTAATACCAATCTCATTATAAAAATGCATTACACAGGCATTGTATCAATATCACATCAGCATCACATCATTACCATGTTTGATACACATAGAGAATTATTACTCCTATCGTCCCAATTCATTACTTAGAACGGAGTTTAAGAAAAATTAAAAGAGTTTGAAATGTTCCAAAAATATCCTTATTAATAAGTCTATATTGTTAAATAAGAAATGGAAAAGGGTC